TTTTAATGCTATTCCTACCCACTAGCCTGTCCAATGAGATAAGACTGGGAAAGAGTCTTGGGTCAGGTCCCCATCCAGATTCATTGTGTGTACCAACTGCACACTTCCTTGACTGACAGACCCTGCTCACAATTACTCATACTTTAATTACCTGTGTCCTATAATGTGTTCTGCATGGGGCTGCTCTTGAAGACCACTTGACACTATAATTGGTCCTGAATACAGCTGTACAATTAGTTATGAACACACTCCAGTGTACCCATAGATAACTCTACTTCATGAGCTGCGCTCATTTCCAGATACAATCAAGATGCTGGTTATCCTCTATAAAGCTCTTCACAGCAATTTATAGGACTCTGTTTTTCCAAATGTCTCTGCCTAACCTGTAACATCAGGCAGGCTGAGCATGCTCTGGGTCCTTTCAAATAAACAGTGCCATCCTGTAGGATCCTGGACGCATGCCTTCTCTCCCATCACTCCTGCCCTCTGGAATACCATTTCCCTTGAGATTTGTTTAGCCCTGCCCTTGCTGGTGCTTCTGCACCCTTTTAGAAAAACTGTCAGAACTTTAGCTTTTCAAACAGACCAAAGGCTGGAATGATTTATGATCCCACCTGATTAATGATGGATTTTGGAATTTTCTTGTTTGTCCTCAATACACGATCATTTCTGTGTTCGGTTGCATATTCTTATGATGTTTTGAATTCTGTATGATGCTTTGAGTGTTTATATTTGGTGGTCTTATAGATTTAATAACTTATTATTACTGAATTATGATTCAGGGTGGCATTTTGCCTTGCAGCATGATATCCTCCAATTTGAATATTTTAAAATTAAAAGAAAATAAAATAGGCAGGGAACCTTGCAGTGAGTATGCTACCACTTGTAGACATGATGTTGGGGACTTTGGGTCTTGAATATGAAAGTACCTTCTTACTTCTACCTTCATGTATTTCCACTGCTCATTGTGGAAACAGAGAAAAAATCCAATCCAATTGCAACATCCTATTGTTGTCTATGTTCAAGTCTATAGCTGGAAGGGCCTCAAAACAAGGAGACCCTGATTTTCTTGGATTTCTGTTCCAATATGATATAATTTTTTTGCAGGAGACATGGATGTTGGGGGAATTTTCAATCCCCAACAACTTTTCTCTGCTAGTCCCTGCACAGCCTAGGTTCAGAGGTGGCAGACCTAAGGGGAAGCTTGGTCTATTTATAGCTTCCAACTATATGTTCAAATTGTAAAACAACTACCTCAGTTTGAGAAAGCTGCATCAGCTTTGTTAATCTTTGACAAATTTTCCTTTCTGTGTATTTATGTCTATCTTCCTCCTCAGCAGCTCCATTCACAGATCACCTAAACCTGGAACCAGGTTGATTCTTTCCTCACTCTTTGCCTGAATAAGTTCCTTGGTACATATATCTTAAGAGGTGGGGATTTCAACACAAGAGCTGGTTGTAATGATGAAGCTTTCTACAAACATTTCAATGCCTGTCCTCCTGAAGAAGTAATTGAACCACCATTTATGCCCAGATCCTTCAAAGCTACAAAATATAACCCAACTGGCTTTAGGTTGCTACATCTCATAAATAGGCTTAACCTACAAATGTTAAATGGCTCTATACAAAATGATTTGCCTGGGCAATATACATTTTGGTCAGCTCATAACTTATCCACCATAGATTATTTAATAATTTCTACAGACCTGGCCCCTTGCCTCAAGCACTTTGGCATAGTCCCTAGGTCTGAAAGTGACCACATTCCTCTAACTTTCACTTGCAAAATTTTGACAAGGCCTAATTAGGAACCTAGTAAAGGCCCATTTAAAATGCCTGATGGGAGACAGCTCTTACAGGGTCAGATGGAATGGCTCCCTTGAAGACAGGATAGCCTAATGGTTTCACTAAGAGGAAGTGCATACTTTTCAACCCTCTGTACCTTTGGGGCACACTCAGACCCAACCATCCCACAAGACCTTCCCACAGCAGAATACTTGATGTATATCACAATCTCATAACTAAGCTCCAACCTTTTGTAACAAAGGCAAATACCAACCCGATCAGGAGGGGATGGCATTCTAAGAGTTGGTTTGACAAATCTTGCATTGCTGTCAAAGCAGAATTATTGGAATCCTATGCTACCTCACTGAAGGCCAATTCACCAGATTCCATCCAAATTTTAAAGGAGCAGAAAAGACAACATAAGGCTCTGCTCAGAAAGGAAAAAACCAAGATCAGAAGAAAAAATGGTCACAGCTAATCAAAGCTACAAAGTCTAAAAATCCTTCCCTATTCTAGCATACTATAACAAATTGTTCCCATAATGGCACTATACAATTGCATTTTAGCATCCCCTCAAGTACCTGGGTACATCACTTCCAAGCTCTTTATTGAGATCCGTACACTAACACCTATGAGATGGATGTACCTTTATCCTCACTAGCGTAATGGCCCCAGTCACATGCAAGGAAGTTAAAAATCTCATTAACCAGCATAAATATGGTAAAGCCCCTGGGAGTGACCGTATCCCTCCTTAGCTAATTAAACCCAATTCAAATTGGTGGGCCCCTGTATTGGCCTCCTTTTTTTCATACATTAACCACACAGCTAAGATTCCAGAGGACTGGGGGGAAACTATATATAAAAAGGGTGATATGAATGACCTGGCTAATTATAGTTTATTGAACATCTTTAGCAAACCATATGCCAGGTACCTATTCACCAAACTCCAAACCTAGGTAATAGTTGAGGGAATAACCACCCTGAGCAAGCAGAGTTTCAACAGGGATGATCCACTATATACCATTGCCTAGTGCTTCAATATCTGGCAGACAAATATACAAACCACTCTGACTTGAATCTGTATGCAGCCTTCATTGATTTTAAGACAGCTTTTGATAATATCTCAAGGGTTAGACTCTGGGACATTCTGAGCAGATCCTTTATAGACAAAAGACTCTTGCTCCTAATTCATAAGCTATACAATAACACTGGCCTTAGAGTAAGATGTAACCAGGGAGGGGACCTTTCTGACTTTATCCAGACTATCAAGGGGATGAAACAAGAATGTATTTTAGCACCACTGCTTTTTAACATATATACCAACTCTCTGATTAAAACCTTTCAGAGAGTTCATATCCATGCACCTAAATTAGCTGGTAGACATCTCCCAATTCTACTCTACACTGACAATGCAGTTCTTCTCTCCTTGTCTTCTGCAAGCATGAAGCGGGCACTAAGAACTGTGGCATCCTACTGTAATGAGGAACAATTAGTAATCAACTATGATAAATCTAAAGTTTCAGTTTTTTCCAGCAAAAGACAAAGGCACAACTGGACAATTGATTCCCATGAGTTAGAGCAAGTCAAATGTTTTAAATACTTGGGCATTTCAGGCCTCTATGAAATTAACAGCCCAGGTAAATTATGCCACTTCTACTGCCCAAAAGAGCATACTAGCAATAACAAAATTTTATAGACAACATGAGGCAAATTACATTCCAGCAGCAATCAAATTGTTTATGGCTAAAACAGTTGCTCAACTATTATTTGGGATACAACTTGGCCCATATACAAACCTAACGGCTTATGAAGCCATTCAATCAAATTTCCTTAGGACTTTGTTTGGTACCCCAAAATGCACCCCTAATGCAGTCTTGAGGCTTGAAGCTAATGTGCCAAGTATTAAGACCCAGGCCTGGACCAGGATTCTAATCATAGGACTCAGAATCATGTTTGACCCTACAAGCCTGATTGCTCTGCTGCTGTCAGACAGCTACCAATCTCATTGGCACCATACCTGTATAGAAGAACTTTGCAGTCTTGGCCTCTCTGCTGAATATTTAGGCCAATTAATCTTTGAGACGGCCAAATCAAAAGTAAAAGAAAGAATTAGGGACACTGAGCACCAAAATGATATCATCAGGGCATTCTAATGCCAAATGTTAGATAGTCGCAAGCCCCTTCTGTGCGGTATCTATACAATCTAATCCCAAGCAATATAAATGGGCCTTTTCCAGAGTCTGCTTTGATGCCCTCCCTTCAGCACTGCTGGCAGGAAGATTTCATGGGACTCCTTATTTATAGAGACTTTGCCCTTGTGAATCCAGGGAGGTAGAAACTCTTGCCCATGACCTAATATGGTATCCTTTTTATGATGCCCCAAGATGTGCTCTGATCTCCCCAATCATCTCTAAATTTGAGGGTCATGCTGACAAATGTTATGTTTATTACTTTTAAGGGATGTTAACTCTACACTCACATACCAGGTGGCCAAATATCTTCATTAAGTCATAGAATTCCATAGAACTTTTAACTAGATATGTTGCTTTATTGTCTTACTGTTTTTTTCCCCTGATAATAAATTGCTGTACCAAACTATTTCTCTTTTCCTACTGTAAAAACTATAATAAAGATAATTGATTTATCGTCCATGTTCAGAATTCCCTTGAACTTTGGAGATCAAGATTATATTTTAAAAAATATTTAATTTCCCAAAGTCAGAGGAGCTCCTAAATTTAAATAGTATAGGATCATTCTTTTGGACATTCTTGATCCCTTCCCTCCACCCCCATCATTAATTTTAGTGGGAAGAGAGCCCAGAATCCAAAGAGGGTCATAAATTCTGATATCCTATGATTTTTGCCTAAGAAAACATTCATTTTCATTGCAAAAACAAGCATATCTCACATTTCTTTAAAAATACTCTTCTAAATACTTACCAATTCCATCACTGTGAAAATGGTCACTGTGGTTATGATGATGGCTTTTTACCTTTAAAAAAAGATTGACCAGGAGTTAAATTATTCTACCTTTAAGTATGATATAAATATGCAAAGAAAATTAAGAAAGTTTTCAGAGCTACCAGTCTCTCCGTTCTTCTATAGAATATATGTCTATATGTTTCCAGAAAATTATAGAAGCTAATAACAACATGTTCAGTGGCCAAATGATTGATTGATGGATGGATGGATGGATGGATGGATGGATGGATGGATGGATGGATGGATGGATG